ATATATATATATGAAAAATTGATGTGGGTACTCTAATGAAAGGTCTTGCTGAGTATAACATCAGGATGAGCTTATATCTTTAAAAATGTCAATAGTTTACAAGATATAAGGTAATTTCTTAATTATGTATCTAGAGATGGATAAATTCAAATCAAGACTTTTGTAATTATATTAAATTTCACTAAAAAAACCAATTTTATTAAATGACTATCTTGGAGACAAAATTTTCCTTATTTTCTTAATAATATAGATAATATTTGAGAAGAATAAGTATTAATAATAAAATAAAATTAGGATTATTTTTGTTGTTGCTGTGACAAAAATACTTGGTAAGTATATTTTTTATTTTTAAAAGTAATTTCGGGTGAGTAATATAGTTTGAGATGATGAATAAATTGTTGGTTGATGGTTATAAATAAATTAACAAAAATAAGTAAGTAAAATGTAAAAAACATGAGCATGAGATTCATGTACTCGAGATACATTTAAGAGTGCATATGTATATACATATATATGTGGGGGGGAACGGTTAAACGTGTATTAAAATAGACCGTAAGGTAATCTTGGAATGCGTATAGGATAATGTGAGTCGTCGTTCCCAAAATAAGTGGAAAAATATCAAACCTCACGGCCTAGAACATTTTACGAGGTGTAAAGTACTCCCAGTACTTTAAAACTCACTATTCAATTATTTCTTAATTAAAATTATTCATTGATTTTTTTTTATCATTTATCAAACTATCTTGACTATTTTTAGAAATTTATTGAATGATTTTTTTTGCTCATTTTGAAAACAAAAATTAAATTATTGGGCAATAAAAAGAGTATTTTGCGCTGTTTGATATTATGCAAAATAAATAATTACGTTTTTGTGTAAACTCGCGGATTACGTTACGGAATTTAGTAAAACTAAAATAAAAAATGATATTTAAGAAATGTACATGACACACCAGGAGGTCGGAACATTGTGGGAGGTGGTACGGAACTAAAATAGAAATTTCATCGGCGAAATTATCGCGAAAAGAAATGTATGCCAACGATTACACTTTTTCAGTTTTTATTTGGTTGAATAATTTTTTTATTTTTGAAGCTATTGTTATTAGTCATAAAAATAATATTGTAGTAAACAATTATGTAAAAGAAATATAATAATATATATTTCAGAAGTATGCATGAATCATCAGCGAAATGCAGACTCAACTGAGACATCAACAGAAGGTTCTAAATATGTCACTTTGAGTAATATTTTCACGTCAATAGGAAACTCATTAAATATTTTGAAAAATTATGAGGCAAATTTTTTAAAAATAGAAGAAACTCAAAACAATAGGTAATTATTATAAATTGTTATTATTATTATTATTATTATATTTTTGAAAATTAGTATTAACAAATTAATAACTAGTTCATTTATTGAAATTTTGAATCTCCAAATTTGAATTCAAAATTCTGAGATAAATATTAAAAATATGAAAAAATTGTATCAGTTTTTTTTTATAGAAAAATTTTATTCTCTACAAAAAAGTTTATCAATAAATTTTAATATCAACTCAAAAATTTTATAATTATTATTTATTAATTCATAATGATTTTTTATTACAATTTTATTTACTTATTCATTTAAAATGAATAAATAGATAAATTTATTTAATAAATTATTTACTTAAAATAAATAAATATATAATGATTTTTTATTATAATTTTCTAAAATTAGATTAAACGATAAGGATAATTGTTATGAAACTAAAATCCAAGATTCGTACGACCAAGAAGACATTGATAGTGAAGATACATCCCAAAGTAATTACGACGAGATAACAAGACGCTTAGAAGCATACAGTGACGGAGATTACAGTTATCCAGAATTTTATTCGACTAATAAAATAACCTACGAGAGTTTCAGTAGTCCAGAATTTTTTCGTCACTTTAAAACACCAGGTAATAAAAAGACCCAAATCCTTGGGTATTTATAAATAATTATTGCGCACTAACTTTTGTAATTTATTGCCCTCGTAAACTACCGAGTTAAGTTACAATTATTTTCTTGATACACATTTTGTTTTTACATTTTTTACTTCATTTGAATTTTTTAATTTTTTAAAAGTTGGTGGGTTATGTCGTGTCTATTATTAGAACAAGCAAAGGATTAGATTGAAGATGAGAGTGAAGAAAAGTGAGAAGTGGAATGAAATGAATATGGGCGCGATACTCTCGTTAGTAAAAATAAATAAAATCTGTATTATATGCTAAAGAAAAAAAAATGACACGACGTAACCTTATATTAATTCTACTAAGTGATATTTTGCTTATGAAAAAAATTGTTTTGTTTCAAAGCAAAAAAATCAAAAAATATCAGAAAATTTTTTTTTATAAATTTATTTTTGGCTTTAAAAATTTTTTTTTTTTTAAACCAAAAAATTGCAGGTCAAAAAATTTTTTTTCTGATTATTATTGCAATTTTTTGAAGAGTTAAAAAAAAGTAACATTTTTTTTAAAGAAGTAAAAGTTGAGTTAAAAATTATTAAATTTTTTAATTTTTACATTTTTTCAAAAATTATCAGTAAAAAAAAAATGTTTCCTTAAATTAAAAAAAAAAAATTGATTTTCTCAAAAATTAATGGGCCACTTAAAAATGTTAATTTTTTTTTTTTTTAATTTTACTTTCATATAAGCTAAAAATTCAACCCAAAAAAATTTTTTTTCGCTTCAATTTATTAATACTTTATCCAGGATTTGAACCCTGGACCTTGGAAAATTTATTATTATTTATTTTTAAAAACCCAAATATTAGAATTCGCTTCACTTTATTATCTATGGTCTAACGAAAACGCAAGATTAAACTGCAACTAAAATTTGATTCGTTATACTCTTCATAGATAAATTACTCTTGCAGAATAAATAAATAAAAGAAGAAATAGAAATAGAAGAAGAATTTCCACGATGACTGTGGTAGAATATATACAATAAAATGTTCTTACAGTGAACGCACTAACTCAGAAATAGTCAGAGCGTCACCAAAGTAAATCTTACCTTGAGACGAAGATTATTCACTCGACACCTCAATAATAAATTCTTTAAATTAAATCAAGCCTAATTGTTACCTTGGCTCTATTAAATTTAAATTCTATTTAATTTAATAATGATAAATAGAATAATTTTAAAATCCGAATTCATGAGCCGTTTAATTGTCAACTTAAATTTTACTTAAACTATTAACTGTATCTTCTTAATCACAGCTTGGTTATATACTTTATTTAAAACACTGTGCCAACAAATTAATACACGGACTATTGTGCAAGTAACGTAATAAGAATCCTCTAAGTAATGAAATAAGAACCTCAGCATTGTAATATTGAATCGGTTGTATGAGATTTAAATTACGAGATGTTAAGCTTCACTTTGACCTACTCATTTTGATTTCTCGTCTTCCATGTAACGAGACTCATTATTACATCCATTCTCATTTATTATTTATAATTATGACAACAATTAACCGGACTAACCAGATTTACTGAAAAAAAGAAAGAGAAGAAAAAAAATGATAAATGCTTTTGCAAAATGAAACAAAAGTAAGAGAGTTTATTTTCATTTTATTTAAAAAAAAAAATGTTGATCTAATTTACACACAACTGGAGGAGGAGCTGCTCTCAACCGACAATTTACGATCCGTAGAGTAATTTAAAACATTAATTGCAAGTCTCAGAGGATTCTACAACATGTTAATAATTACATCAGTATAAAATAATAATAATAATAAAATTTATAATTTATTCACAGTGATTAAATATTTAAAAGTAATAAACTTGTAAACTGAAAAAAAATTTTAATTTTGCTTTATTAAATAATGACTTTTGTTAAATTGCACTGTACTTTTTTAATTATTGACCTTTTTAAAGATATAAGCTCATTCCGAGGTTACATTCATCAAGAGCTTTCATTTGAGTACCCACATGCATTTTTGATATATTTTTCATATATACATATATATAATATATAAAATTTATGAAAAATTGATGTGGGTATTCAAATGAAAGGTCTCAATGAGTGTAACATCGGGAGAAGCTTATATCTTTAAAAATGTCATTAGTTGACAAGATAGCAATGTCAGTTCTTAATTATTGACATTTTTGAAGATATAAGCTCATCTCGATGTTACACTCATCAAGAGCTTTCATTTGAGTATCCACATGCATTTTTGATATATTTTTCATATATACATATATATAATATATATAAATATATAAAATATATGAAAAATTGATGTGGATACTCAAATGAAATGTCTTGATGAGTATAATATCGAGATGAGCTTATATCTTTAAAAATGTCAATATTTCACATAACAAAAGGTCATTTCTTAATTATGTATCTAGAAATAAATAATACAGATAATAATACAGAGGCCAAATGTGAAACACTGGAAAACACTGTACTTACATTTTTGGCGATTAAACTTGAGTAAATAAATCGGGCAAATTTCTCTCTTTTATGATACATACATGTATAATAATGATTATAATTATGATGATGATTATATATATATATATATAAAGTAAAGATGCAACGGTAATCTATGAGTGTGAGGTTTTTGCGTACATATAAAGAAGACAAGACAAGAAAACGTAGGTGTATGTTTCTACAGCGTAGAATAAACGAGCATGCGGTCGTACGCGTTCATGCAAGCACGCACGCCATGAATTTTCTTCTTCCTTCCTCTTTACGGTGGATGCAACAAACAGACAAGAGCACATTTTAACATTTTACATGGGCTTGATGTGTATTATTTTGTACTATAGGGACGGACGTACAAGGAAGAAAGATAAATAAAATAAAATAAAAAATAGAATGGATGGATATGTAATGTACGTAATGGTAAATAAGAGTTTTATAGTAAAGGTAGATAAAGAGAGTTGAGAAGTAGCGTAGTAAGTTTATACGCGAATCGTCCAGGGGTGACAAAACTCTACTTTGGTGAGAAGGAAGTAAGTAAGACGGGGAATAAGTGCACGCGTGGGCACGCGTGAGATAAAGAACCAGAAAATCCATTTGTGAATGAACGTCTGAGGTATTTTACTCCGTTCTTCTATTATTTAATAAATAATTATCGGGATTTACTATTAAAAAATATTTGTAAAAAATAGTAAGCCTACTGTAATTAATTAATTGGGAGTAATTATTTCTTCTATAATTTATCAGTTTATATATGCTATAAGTTTTCTTCTCGTTACTTCTACTTATAATTCGTTTTTTTTTTCTATTTCATGAAGAAACATTATTATCTATAGAAAATTTTATAAATTAACTGTTAATAGCATTGCAGTCACCATGTGACTTGTGAACTGTAAATACATAAAATTTTGATTTTTTAAATAATGACTTTTGTTAAATTGCACGATACTTTTTTAACTATTGACCTTTTTAAAGATATAAGCTCATCCTGATGTTACACTCATTAAAACCTTTCATTTGAGTACACACATGCATTTTTGATATACTTTTCATATATACATATATATAATATATATAAATATATAAAATATATGAAAAATTGATGTTGGTACTCAAACGAAAGGTCTTGACGAGTGTAACATCGGGATGAGCTCATTGCGATGTTACACTTATTTAGAGCTTTCATTTGAGTACCCTCATGCATTTTTGATATATTTTTCATATATACATATATATAATATATATATAATATTCATAAATTTATGAAAAAATGCATGTGAATACTCAAATGAAAGGTCTTGATGAGTGTAACGTCGGGATGAGCTTATATCTTTAAAAATGTCAATATTTCACAAGATAAAACGTCATTTCTTAATTATGTATCTAGAGCTAGAGCATTTTCAAATGCAGTCCAAATACTAATCATATAAATACACTGGCCATAAAATTTTGCTTATTCTCTCAACAATATAGATTAATTATTTCTTCTTTAATTTTTTAATTCATATCCACAGTAATTTTTCTTCTAACCACTTTATTTCTTCTTCTGTTTTTTAAATTTCACGAAGAAATCTGTATTTAATTTTTCTAAAAAAATTTTATCAAATAATTTTGCTATCAAATATTTCTTCTTTAATTTTTTACTTTTTACAAGCTATAAAATTTTTCGTTATTCACCTTTTAGATTTTCTTCTTTTCTAGATTATAAAAAAATTTTATTTTAAAGAAATGTATAATTTAATTGCAATCAATAATTTCTTCTTTAATTTATTTATTTATCCACACTGTTAGTTTTCATTCTACAACTATAACTTTTCGTTCTTCTTCTCCATCTTCTTATTTTCTATTTCATGAAGAAAATTTCCCCTACTACTAAACCCGGCTGTCTCACACCGACGAGTAGGAGAGATCGCCTCCCCGGAGGAACGTATCCCGCTACCGGCTTACTCGCAATTCGCATTCGATCGACGTCTTGGTTTAAAGTGTCTCGGGGAATTTTTTCGATTATAATGACTTGACGCATTGCGAATATTATTTAAAAAAGTTCAAAGTAAATAATAAAAAACGTCCAAAAATATACATATTTATTTATTTATTTAAAAAAGAAGAATATTATTTGTGAGAGAAAATTTAAAACGAAATATTTATTTATTTATTGATAAAATTAAAACGAATAATTGATACGCGAAAACGATAATAAATTATAAAATAAAAGGAGGTAATTAAAAATACAGTGCAATTGGTTACGCTTTTGTGATTTAATTGTGGGTGCTACAGTAAATATTTATTATAGGAAGAGGAATAAGTGATTTTATATACCGGTTTACTATTTAATTATCATATCATCTAGTTGGGTACGCAAACAGCTTCAAAATGAAGCGACAAACGTCGCTTAATCAGCAACAACAACAAATGCAGCAACAAATGCAGCAGCAACAAATGTCGACAATGCAACAGCAATATAGTCAGCACAGAAGTGAACGACAAATTACAAGACAACAAATTACAACTCAGCAAAGAGGTCGGTTAAGAAGAAATATGTGGATTTAAATTAATTAATTAACGTGTGATTAAAATCTTCATTAATTTTCTATACTATCATCTTCTTTTATTTCTTCTAACATTATTTATAAAAAATATTTTTTATAATTATTATATTCTGTTAAATCAATACTTAACTTCTATTACTTTATGTAATTATTTGTGTTGAAAAATTTATTCCGGTGCTCTCATTTGCCGAGATTCTATTTTTGTGCAAGAGCCCCAACGCGTGCCTCTCCATCTTCAACTAAAGATAGATCGTTTCTACGTCGGTGCCCGGTTTAAAAAAAATTCAAACTGAGCTTAAGATTGTTGTTTTTTTTTTTTATAAATTTACTACTAAAAATTTAAGTATCAGCTGTCAAAATTTTAAATGGGGTATTTCTTCATTTTCTATAGGTATTTTTAGCACGTGCGCGCTTAAATTATTTTTTATTAATAGAAAAATTAATTTATCACGGATGTAAGCGTCAAATTTCTATTTATATAGTCAGATAAAATATTTAATGTAAAAGAAGAATTTTTTTACTTGATAGTAATGTCAATTTATAATGTTGGGATAAAATGATTAGCCTGCCAAATACTATTACGCTTTAACACGTTAGATGTATCTATTTCCTTGCCAAATGTCGTTAATGTCACAAACAAATAGTGTTTTATGTGTCAAGTATTAATGCCACCGTACAAATGGCTGTTGATATACTGTTAGGGAAGAAAGTATTGCTAAATAATATGTTACCTTTAAATTGTTATTTTGTTTTGTTTTATTCTTGTAAAACTAAGTCAGCGTTATTTTTATATAATTAATCAATAATTCATTGAATAGATTTTTTTATGTAAACAATGGATATTTATAGCTTATCACAGCTGATCATAGATGCTTCAATGAACGGTAGTAATTAATAAAATTATTATGATTAAATTTTTTATGATAATAGAAGAGAAGATAAATAAAAGTTAGACTGATAAGAAGACTTATAGTATTCATTTATTGATGAATTAAAGAAGAAATAATTAACATTGATTTATTTATAAATAATAAAAATAATAACAATATTTCTTCACAAAATAGAAAAGAAGAAAAGAATTTTAAAAATTCTTATAGAATTTTGTAATTAATAAATTAAGGAAGAAATAATTAATAGTAATTAATTTACCTATTTTATTTACATGATTATAATAATTGTGTTTCTTTAATAAATAGAAAAGAAGAAATACAAAAAATAGAATAATTAAGAAGAAAAGTTACAGAATTTATTAAGTAATAAATTAAAGAAGAAATAATTAATTAAAAATTTTTTTTAATATAAAAATTAAGAAGAAATAATCAATAAAAAATTTAAAGCTTACATAAAAGAAGAAATACAAAAAATAGCGTAATAAAGAAGAAAAATTACAGAATTAATTATTTAAAAATTTTTTTTAAATAATTAGTAAAAAATTTAAAGGTTGTATAAAAGAAGAAATACAAAAAAATGAGTAAAGAAGAAAAATCCCAGAATTTATTAATAAATTAAAGAAAAAATAATTAAAAATTTTTCAAATAAAAAAATAATAAGAAGAAATAATTATAAAAAAATTTACAGGTTGCATAAAAGAAGAAATATAAAAAGTAGAGTAATAAAGAAGAAAAATGACAAAATTTATTAATAAATTAAAGAAGAAATAATTAATAATTTTTTAAATAATAAAAAATGAAGTAGAAAAAAATAAGAAGTAAAAAGAAATAATTAGAAAAAAATTTACAGGTTACATAAATAAAATTAAAGTGATTTTTATTACTAATAAAACAATAATCAGGTGACCTGACAAAATAACAGGAAGAAATAAAAATAATAAATAATGTATCTATGAAAATAATTGGCAAAGATAAACACAGAAAATAAAATTTTTGATGATGACTCGTTAAATTTTATTTTTATCTGTGACTGAATAATTTTGCGTAACATTGTCGCCATTCAATCACCAACTATTTAAAAATTCCATCTAAATAAAATTAGTAATCTATGAGTGAAATAATTTTTTTGTATCACAATTCGGCAGTAAGAGTGATAATAACAATAATAACCTTAATAATAACAAGAAAATGAAGAAATGAGACGAGCCACATCGCGATTCGAGTAGAGCGCCCGCGCGTAAAGATAGTTGCTCCTAAAATGGGTCCCGGTAACGCGATCTCGTCCCGCACGAAAATAGTCTTCCCATTAGCCCCCTGCTCCACCAACTGACATCCCTATCGCCTCTACGATGTGATACACACGTAGCCGGATCACGATGATGATGATGATGATGATGATGATGATGGTCATCAACAAAATATGCATTTATACTCTATACATTCCCATTAATCTAGATTATTTTGGCTGTCAGCTGGGAATATTTTTTCCCTGATGTAATTATAATTATTTAAATATAAAGTGATTCATTAATATCTTCGCTGTCGCTTTAAATTTAGACTTAGATATAGTTAATTAGTTATTTAAGCTTTATTTATTCATCAATTTGATTCATTGTTATAACCAGAGAAGAATACAAGAAGAAGAAATAATTAATTTTATTTGTTTAGACTAAAAGTAAGAAAAATTTAAAAGCGAGGTTGTAGCCGTAGGCTTGGCCTAATTTCTCACTAGATATCTTTATCTATAAATTTATTATAAGCCCAAGTAATTAAATTTTATAATTAATTGCTACTTGGACCAGCAATTACTACTTGAATCAACGAGTTTGTATAAAAAGTTTGTCATTACTCATTATATTAAATTCATCGCCCGGAACGTGGGCGCGTTAACTTAAAATTATCTTCTCTGTATTTTTATTTTTTTATTAATAAAAAATTATTTTTTTATTTACAGTGCAAGGAGAGTTAGTGATGACAACTTCGCCGGCACCAGTGTGAGTATCTGTCATTTTTAATTTAAAAAATTCTTAATTATAAAGGGAGAGACTTATAATTTATTTATAAATTTTATAGATTTACTGGAAGACCTGGAGACCCCTCGCCGCCGATATTCGAGCAGATATTTAAAAATGCAAGGTTTGCACAAGGCGGTAATGCTATTTTTGATGGAAGAGTTAGAGGAAATCCTAAACCTGCTGTTTCTTGGACACACAAAGGAGCTCCTTTGAGGGAGTCACAGAAAATTCGAATGTCTTATGATGAAAATACTGGAAACGTTACGCTGCAAATAAATCAAATTGGGCCTGGTGATGAAGGAGAATATACTTGCAATGCACGAAATCAATATGGTAATTTTTTTTTTTTTAATTGGGGTAATAGTACCTTTAAATAATTAATTTAAATAATTTATTTAAATAATTAATATTAAACAGGTGAAGCTATTTGCTCAGTCTACATTCAACCTGAAGGTTTTGGGCCTCCACCAAAACAAGGCTACAAGGATTATCAACAACGCTATTCTCAGACTATCGACAAGCGTTACACCAACGGGTCAACAACAACCACGACAGTCACCACCGAAGAATTCAAAGTCGACACATTCGAGTACAGATTATTGCGTGAAACAGAATTCCGTGAGTCTGTAACACGTCGTTATGTTGGTGAATCTGATTCCCAAGTGTCAACGACAGTAGACCGTAGCCTTGGTCCTGTTGCGCCTCCACAAATTAGCCAGAAACCGAGAAACTCAAAACTTGTTGAAGGTTCTGATGCTGTATTCACTGCTAAAATATCCGGAAATCCTAAATCGAGGGTAAATTGGTCATTTTTAATTATGCTGAAATTATTAGACCTCCCAATTTTTTTAGCATATTAATTATAATAAAAATAACTATCAACTTGCATAAATAAAATTTTGCTTTATTTAATAATTACTTTTGTTAAATTGCACTGTACTTTTTTAACTATTGACATTTATAAAGATATAAGCTCATCCCGATGTTACACTCATCAAGAGCTTTCATTTGAGTACCCACATGCATTTTCATATATTTTTCATATATACATATATTTATATATAAATATATATAAATATACAAAATATATGAAACATTGATGTGGGTACTCAAATGAAAGGTCTCGATGAGTGTAACATTGGGATAAGCTTATATCTTTAAAAACGTCAATATTTCACGAGATAGCAATGTCAATTCTTAATTATTGACATTTTTAAAGATATAAGCTCATCCCGATGTAACACTCATCAAGAGCTTTCATTTGAGTACCCACATGCATTTTTGATATATTTTTTATATATACATATATATATAATATACATAAATATATGAAAAATTGATGTGGGTACTCAAATGAAAGGTCTTGATGAGTGTAACATCGAGATGAGCTTATATCTTTAAAAATGTCAATAGTTCACAAGATACAAGGACTAAAAAAATAATTTTAGTGTCTGCTAATTTCAATTTTAAATTAATTTAAAAATAAATAGAATTTATAATTAATAAATTTTTTTTTACAGACAACGTGGTTCAAAGACGGCCAAAGACTCCGCGATTCCCAGCGTATAGAAACAATCCATTCAAACCAACAAGCAACTCTGCGTATCGTCGGAACAAACCAAAGCGACAGCGGACATTACACCCTGCTGGCAGAAAACCCTCAAGGTTGCACAGTGTCATCAGCTTACTTAGCGATCGAGCAAACTGACCAAGTAGACCATGCCCAGCCGCAGTACATCCAGAGAGAAGCAATTAAGACCGTTGAAACTATTGAAACAACAACTCCAGAAGCTAACAAAGCCTTGCCACCGAATTTCGTTCGCACTTGCGCTGACCGCGACGTTACCGAGGGAAAAATGACCAGGTTTGATTGTCGCGTCACTGGACGTCCTTACCCAGAAGTCACCTGGTACATCAATGGTTACCCAGTTGTCAATGATGCAACCCACAAAATTCTTGTTAATGAAAGCGGAGATAACTCATTGATGATCACCAACGTTACACGCGTTGACGCTGGTACTGTTACATGTGTTGCTAAGAACAAGGCCGGTGAAACATCGTTTCAGTGCAATCTTAATGTTATTGAGAAGGAACAAGTTGTAGCACCGAAATTCGTCGAAAGATTCACCACGACTAATGTTAAAGAAGGAGAGCCGGTGGTTTTTGCTGCTAGAGCTGTTGGTACACCTATACCGCGTATATCCTGGCAAAAGGTATGATTTTTAATTATTAAATAAATAAATAAATAAATAAAATTTTGCTTTATTAAATAATGAATTTTGTTAAATTGCACTTTATTTTTTTAACTATTGACCTTTTTAAAGATATAAGCTCATCCCGACATTGCACTTATCAAGAGCTTTCATTTGAGTACCCACATCAATTTTTCATATATTTCATATATTTATATATATTATATATATGTATATATCAAAAAAAATTTTCCATTATTAAATAATGAATTTTGTTAAATTGCACTTTATTTTTTTAACTATTGACCTTTTTAAAGATATAAGCTCATCCCGACATTGCACTTATCAAGAGCTTTCATTTGAGTACCCACATCAATTTTTCATATATTTCATATATTTATATATATTATATATATGTATATATCAAAAATATGTAAAAAATGCATGTGGATACTCAAATGAAAGCTCTTGATAAGTGTAACATCAGGATGAGCTTATATCTTTAAAAAGGTCATTAGTTGACAAGATAGCAATGTCATTTTTTAATTATTGACATTTTTAAAGATATAAGTTGATCTCGATGTTACAATCATCAAGAGCTTTCATTTGAGTACCCACATGCATTTTTTATATATTTTTTATATATACATATACATTATACATAAATATATAAATATATAAAATATATGAAAAATTGATGTGGGTACTCAAATGAAAGCTCTTGATGAGTAGAACATCGGGATGAGCTTATATCTTTAAAAATGTCAATAGTTCACAAGATACAAGGTAATTTCTTAATTATTTATTTGAACCTAATTTTTTTATTTATTAATTTATAGTGATTGATGATAGTGATCATGTTATTGTTAATAATTGTACAGGATGGAGTACCGCTAGCACCTGGGCCTGACGTACGCATTACAACAGACGGAAGTGGAGCATCAACGCTAGATATTCCTTATGCAAAGTATACAGATGCAGCCTGGTACCAATGCACTGCTCAGAATGTTGCTGGATCTACAGCAACTCGCGCCCGGCTCTTTGTTGAAACGCCAAAAGGAGCGACCCCTGAACCAAGACGCCTGAATTTACCCCGACCGACTAAAGTCATCGAACCAGAGTAATTTTATTTAACATTTCGATTCTGCCATTCTAATACGTCGTATCCCACATTTAGAAAATTTTACAGCAGACGGTAAAAACAGTTCATTTTTAACGTTGATTAAATGGGATTCAACGGATGAAAATATTTATTTAAAAATAGTTATTATACGATTTTGTGATTCTTTTTCTCTAAAAAAGTCAATATGTCAAATTTTGTAGGATACGACGTATTAGAATGACTTGATAAATGCTTGATAACTTAGACAAGATGGATAATTGTACTTTTGTTTATCTTGGGTATTGTACAGACCTGCGCCTGGTCCTGAAGTGATTTATTTGAGACACGTGGAACGTGCTAAACCCCACTTACCTCCCGCTGAGGAAGACAGGATTTATCCACCTCCGAGAATTATCGTTCCGCTACGAGATGTTCACCAAATCGAGGGTGGACGCATACACTTCGAGGCCAGGATCGAACCGGTGGGCGACCCTACTATGAGGGTCGACTGGTATGTCAATGGAAGAGTTTTAGAAGCAAGTAAGTATCGATATTCAAAATTAATTTAAGGTATTTATATATCATTCAGAAAAGCTGCTCTTTTTTTTTACCATTAAAATTAGCAAAAAAAATTTTTTTTTAAATTGATTAACTTTTTAATAAAAATCATACTATTATTTTTCAGGTTCCCGAGCAAATACACTCTTCCGTTTTGGTTTCATTTCTATGGACTTGATCAGCGTGGTACTCCACGACAGCGGTGACTATGTTTGCCGTGTTGTTAGCTCAACTGGAGTCGCTGAATCTCGTGGTGTTCTCAGTGTTACACGTAAGTTACTCATCTCTATATTTAAGGAGGTTTTAATTGAGAGTATTGATTAATATCGTATTTAATTTATTAGCACGTGCAACAATTGAACAAACAAGTCAGCATCCAGACAGTCTTCGATACATACAGCAGCTCGAAGATTACTCAAAATACCAAAGACAAGAGAGCATTGAAGATCAATCATCCCAACGACCGGTCTTTATCCGTCCACTCCAGGAGCTCGGTGAACTTCAAGAGGGCCGTAATGCTCATTTTGAAGCTCAGCTTACTCCTGTCAGTGACCCCACTATGAAAGTTGAGTGGTACAAAGATGGAAGACCAATTACAGCTAGTAAGAATTTTCTCAATTTTTTTATATTATTTAATTTTTGTTGAAAATTTTAGACAATTTACAAATTTATATATAATTTTAAAATTAAAAGGTTCAAGAATTACGACAATCTTCAACTTCGGATACGTCTCGCTAAATATAATGCACCTACGGGCTGAAGATGCCGGTTCTTATACTGTCAGAGCTGTTAATCGTATGGGAGAAGCAATAAGCACTGCGTCTCTTCGTGTCTTTGGTATGCAATTAATTATTCATTATTATCCATGAACAAATGTTATTTTTTTAATTACTGTAAAATGAATGTAATTAATGAACTCTCTGATGGCAGCACGCACCAGCGTAACCGCAGACCTTGGAATTCCCGAGCAGCAAAAGTATATCGAGGCTGCTGAAGAACTGGAGGCATATCAACTAGCTATGCACCAGAAGTATGTTAGAGAAGAACCAGAACCAACGAGTCCACCGGAGTTTAAAACGCCGATTAAAGATCAGATCAACATTCGCGAAGGCGGTTTCGCTCACTTCGAGGCACGCTTAGAGCCAGTGGGTGATTCTAGTCTTCGCGTTGAATGGCTCAAAGATGGACGTCCCGTAGAAGCTAGTAAGTTTTTTATATTTTTATGACTTTTGTTAAATTGCACTGTATTTTCTTAACTATTGACCTTTTTAAGGATATAAGCTCATCCCGATACTACACTTATCAAGAGCTTTCATTTGAGTACCTACATGCATTTTTGATATATTTTTCATTTATACATATATATAATATATATAAATATATCAAACATATGAAAAATTGATGTGGGTATTCAAATGAAAGGTCTCAATGAGTGTAATGTCGGAGAGAGCTTATATCTTTAAAAATGTCAATGGTTGACAAGATAGCAATGCCAATTCTTAATTATTGACATTTTTAAAGATATAAGCTCATCCTGACGTTACATTCATCTAGAGCTTTCATTTGAATACCCACATGCATTTTTGATATATATATATATATATATATATATATAAATATATGAAAAATTGATGTGGGTATTCAAATGAAAGGTCTTGATGAGCATAACACCGGGATAAGCTTATATCTTTAAAAATGTCAATAGTTCTCAAGATACAAGGTCATTTTTTCATTATGTATCTAGAGATATTTTTGAATGCAGCCCAAATACTTAAATTTATACAAAAAAATTTTTTAATAGATTGTTCATCTGAAAAAATAAAAAATGCAACAAAAAAAAATTCAGTTCTTATTTTTCAAAGCTGATTTTTAAGGAAGAAATAAAAAAATAATTTTAAAATTTTCAGGTTCAAGAATCACAACTTTCTTCAACTTCGGGTACGTCGCCCTAACAATAAAATACGTAACAATCCACGACGTCGGAATTTATACCTGCCGTGCTTACAACAGCGTCGGCGAAGCCCAAACAATGGCTCAAATGAGCGTGATAAGCAAGAACGACATAATCTACGACAGCCAACACCCTCAAGGTCTCCAAAAGATCCAAAGTCTTGAAGACTCAAGCCGCTACCAGCGGCAAATCTCCGAACAAACTCAAGTAACCCAAAAGCCGCGCTTTTTGGGCCCTTTAAAAGGCACCAACAAGATAGTAGAAGGCCAGAGGGCGCACTTTGAAGCGCGAGTCGAGCCGCAAAGCGACTTATCAATGATAATCGAGTGGTACCACAACGGCAAGCCTATCACCGCCGCAAATAGAATCCAGACTTACCACGACTTTGGCTACGTCGCTATCGACATTCTTCAGGTTCGTTCTGAAGATGCAGGAACTTACACAGTAATAGCTAGAAACGCTTTAGGAGAAGCTCGCCTCCAAGCGACGATGATTGTAGAGACCAGGTCGGGAATTGACACCAGCAGCATGCATCGTGGCGCTTACGAGAAAACTCAGCGCTTGGAAGAGTCTCGGTTCGTGGAACCTCAGTATCATATCGAAGAAATTTCAAAATCGAAGCCGATTTTTGTTCAGCCTTTGAGCGACCCTAAGCCCGTTAGTGAGGGGAAGAATATTCATCTGGAGTGTCGCTTGGAACCGATGGGAGATCCGACGATGCGCGTCGAGTGGTTCCAAAATGGCCGCCCGATAACAATTGGTTCCAGGTTCAGAACTTATTACGACTTTGGTTTCGTCGCTTTGGACATAGTTGGCACCACTGTTCTTGACTCGGGAGAGTTTACCGTCAGAGCTACCAACCATCTTGGCTCCGCGCACACTTCTGCGTGCGTAAGAGTCATCGGAAGGTCCGACGTGGTCACTGAGTCGCAAAATGAGCAGTCTTTAGAACAGATTCAAATGCTAGAAGATTCCTCTAAGTACAGAAGACACGTTCAAGAGGACGTTACAGTGGTCCAGGCGCCGCAATTCACCAGAGCGCTCCGCAATATTGAGACTGTGGAACTGACCAATGTCCATCTGGAGTGTCGCTTACAACCTGTGGGAGATCCTACTATGAGAGTCGAGTGGTTTGTTAATGGAATGCCAGTTACTATTGGCCATCGCTTCAGACCTTCTTATGAGTTTGATTATGTTGCTATGGAAATTCTCGGGGTAAATCCTGAAGATTCGGGGGTTTATACTTGTCAAGCTAGGAACCAGCTCGGTGAAGCGGTCACCTCGGGGTCTGTTCGTGTGAGAGCTAAGAAAGATCTTATTTTGGAGTCTCAGCACCCGGAGGGACTGGAGAGGATTCAGTATCTTGAAGATGCTTCGAGGTATAAGAGGAAGGAACTTATTGATGAGGTTGTTAATATTAAACCCAAGTTTGTTACTTCTCCCAAAAATCAAGAGGAGCTTCTTGAGGGAGAGTACGCTCATTTTGAGTGCAAGCTGGAACCTGTGACTGACCCGAACTTGAAGGTGGAGTGGTTCAGAAATGGACGTCCGGTCACAATAGGTATGTTCTAGATTTTTTTGGGGGATTTGGATTTATTGAATAATTATTTTCGGTAAATTGTCATGTATTTTCTTAAATATTGATGTTTTTAAAGATATAAGCTCATTCTGATGTTAGACTTGTCAAGAGCTTTCATTTGAGTACCCACATCCATTTTTGATATATTTTTCATATATACCTATATATAATATACATAAATATATAAAATATATGAAAAATGTATGTGGGTAGTCAAATGAAAGGTCTTGATGAGTGTAACATCGGGATGAGCTTATATCTTTAAAAATGTCAATAGTTCACAAGATACAAGGTAATTTCTTAATTATGTATCTAGAGCAATGAGCAAAGTGTGTGTATCAACTCACAAGTGTCAAAAGTCATTAAAAAATATTATAAATATCATTTTATTTATTTTAAATATTAATCAATAAAATTTTAAACTTGAAAAAAAATGTCCTTCCCTTTTATAAGTAATATAATAACAAAATTAATATTTTATTTTTTTAGGACACCGTTTCCGTCCCATTCATGATTTCGGTTACGTTGCACTCCACGTAACAGATGTAATTCCCGAAGACTCTGGAACTTACACCTGTCGCGCAATGAACCTCGTCGGCAGTGACGAAGTAAGCTGCGTTCTTAGCTGCCGTTCAACAGCCCAAGTTCTTACCGGCACCCAGAACGAGACCGGCCTTGAACAGATTCATTACCTAGAAGACCGAAACAAACATATTCGCCGTCGTGAAGTTATGGAAGAAACAACAACCCAGGCGCCAATCTTCACCACTTCTCTGAAGAGCGTCGAGATAAAAGAAGGACAACGCGCGCACTTTGACTGTCGTTTGATTCCCGTTTCTGATTCTACCATGAAAGTAGAGTGGTTCCACAACAACGTGCCAGTTAAAGCTGGCTCCAGATTCGTTGAGACCAACAGTTTTGGCTTCGTCGCTCTGGACATTATGTATGCTTACCCAGAAGATGCTGGTACCTACACTTGTCGCGCGAAAAATGCCATAGGTGAAGCTATGACTTCAGCAACTGCTGTTGTTCACACCAAAAAGTCAATCTATATGGAGTCCCAGCGCGAAGAAGTTCTTCAGCGCTTACATCAGCTTGAAGATCATTCAAGGTACCAGCGCAAACAGACTCAAGAAGAGACTGTGTCCCAGGCTCCAGTTTTTACTATGCCAATTAAAGATCTTCGCGTTGCTGAGAATCAAGCTGCTCATTTTGAAGCTCGGGTTATTCCTGTTGGAGATGCTCGGCTTAAGATTGAGTGGCTTCGTAATGGTGTTCCTATTGAAGCTTGTAAGTTTTTAGTCTATTTAAAAAAAAGTTTACATCTTTTTGTCTTAATGAAAATTAAGTTAGCCGACATCTAAAAATTTTTAGAATTTTTTTTCATTAAAAAAACTATTACAAAATAATTAAAAAAAATTTTCATTTGTAAAAAACTCGAAAAATTGAAAGTGCAATTTTTAAAAAATATTTTTTAGATCTAATTAAATAATTAAAAAAAAAATTAAAAATGTTGGCTAACTTTAGTGTTATGTCTTCTTGCACTGATCGAAAGATATCTCATTATCTTGGTCACACTCGCAACAGCAAATCTTTTGCAGATTCATTAATTTTTTTAAAGAAATTAAAATTTACTAAAAATGCTCTACTAAAAAATAGATAATTAAACAATCTATAAGTAGCAGAGTGTTTTTATTTTATTTTTCTATGTTGGAGAGATATTTATGAATTTGTAATAGCTGGGGAAAATTTTTTAGGGGAAAAATTCCTTCAGATAGCTCAAAATTAGTCATTTTGAAGATGATAAAATAGTTTTATTATTTAATAAATATTAATATCACCTTATTTAAAATTTTTTCATAAAATCATTTTACATTTTTTTTTTTACCAAATGATGGATCAATTAATTTTTTTCAGGCGTCTTTAGCGCGAGGTTAAAAATATAGTGCGTTTATCACTCTTTCTCTATTGATGTAAAATAAAAAAAATTGCTTTTTTTATTTTGGTCATATTCATGGAAAGAATAAATTTTTTAAATAAAATTAAAAATTAAGTAAACTTATTGAAAATAGTTAAAATTTTGCACTATTTTTGTTTGTTATTTCAAAAAATTAGTTTATTTACAACAAATTTTTATAAATTTAGTAAAAATTTGATATTTTAATTTTTCCTCTTCCCAGTAAATACCTCAATATATTTTTTACTACTGTTGAAAGCTTAAAAAAATTTTTTTTTCTGTCCCAACGATTTTGTAAATTTAAAAATAAAAAATTATTAATAATAAACTTATTTTAGCAAATCGCGTAACAACAATGCACGACTTTGGCTACGTCGCGCTCAACATGAAATATGTTAACCCAGAAGACTCAGGAACTTATACCTGCAGAGCTATCAATGATCTTGGTGAAGCAGTAACATCAGCCACACTATTTGTCCAATGTAAGTAAAATAACATTTCACATTCCTTGTATATACAATATACTTGCAAAATTGTAAATATTAAATTACCTATACGAATATCTGCAATGTATTTAATGTAACCATTTCGTCAATGCTTAACGTAAGATAAACATTTTCTTTCAAAATAAAAAAATCGTTTATATTAGCTGTAAAAATATTGAATATTTATTTTACAAACATTGACGTCAGTCATTAAATTTTCATTGATAAAATAAAAGTCTCAGTAATTTAAATCCATTGCAGTGTATAAATACTATAACAAAAAATAATTGTACTTAAAAACGTTCCACGATTTTTAAAATTCATCATCTTCATTACTAATTACCTCTAAAATTTTCCAAATTCCAGTGAGCTTATAATTTTTTTTATTACACGCATTTTTTGTCCACAAAATAGCAAAAGCAGCTCTGCAACTAGAGTCACAACACGAGACAGCATTGACAAAGATCCAAGCATTGGAAGATTCGAGCAGATATCAGCGTCGCGAGGAAGAAGAAATATCTGTTAAAGAAAAGCCACGTTTCACTGTTAGGCTAAACGGTCCAACGAGTTTAGTTGAAGGGCAAAGCGCACACTATGAGTGCCGCATTGAGCCCTATCCTGACGCTACCATGAAAGTCGAGTGGTTCCATAACGGACAACCACTTTCCACAGGACACAGATACAGAACAACATGTGACTTTGGATTCGCGGCTTTAGACGTTTTGACTGTCTATGCTGAAGATTCAGGCACATACACTTGCAAAGCCACCAATAAACTTGGCTCGGCTCAGAGCTCCATTGAGCTTTCTGTTAAATGTAAGTCACGAACAACATTACACAATTCAGCGACAAAGAAATTTTTTAATTAATTTATTTCAAGAAAAAATTTATACAGATTTTTTAATAAACTATTTTATTTTAGCTCGAGCGTCTATTATTAACGAAACTCAGCACGAAAGTGCTCTGAAGAAGATTCAGTACTTGGAAGACGACTCCAGGTTCAAGCGAATTGAACGCGACGAGCCATTCGTCGCAGAGAAACCCAAATTCGGACGCCCGCTGAAGAATATTGAGCACTTGCCTGAGGGTAAGAGTGCGCATTTGGAAGCGACCTTGACGCCAGTCAATGATCCTACCATGGTTGTTGAATGGTACAGAGATGGAAATCCGATTCCTCAGGGCCATAAATTTAAGACCACTTATGATTTTGGCTTTGTTGCTTTGGATATTCTTTATGCTTATCCAGAAGACTCTGGTACTTATATGTGCAAGGCTAAGAATGCTGTCGGGGAAGCTGTTACTACTTGTGTCATCACTGTTGATTGTAAGTTAATATTTATTTTAATCTTTGTTGAGCAGTGAGCTACGTAGCTTGTCAAATCAACTAATAATAATATTTTCTATTTATCAATTTTTCAAAAACAAAAAATTACCAATATTGTAGTTAATATTATCGTCCGTAATTATCAATAATAAATTTTTATATCAGAAATGTGGACAAGATAGGATCATAATAATGGCAGATATAATAATGTAATTTGTTATTATGATCCTATCTTGTCCACATTCCTGATATAAAAATTTATTATTACTAATATATTTCTTCTAATAATTTATTTTTCAATTCACCTAATAACAAATTTTTTGTCAACCTCTAATTTTAATTTCAATTTCTTGATAAAAAACCAATACTCCATCAAAAAACTAAAAAATCAATTTCTTCCCCAGCTAAACAAGGTTTGTACCTGGACACCTTGGACGCCCAGCGCCTCGAAAAGATCCGCGCTCTAGAAACAGTAGAAATAAAAGAAGTAGCAGAAAAAGAAGTAATCTACCAAAAACCAGTTTTCTTAACCCCCTTAAGCAACCTGGACCACCTAAAAGAAACCGAGCACGCGCACTTAGAATGCCGCGTGGAGCCAATAAACGACCCGAACCTCAAGATCGAGTGGTTCCACAACGGAAAGCCCGTAAAAACCGGTCACCGTTACCGAATGACCCACGACTTTGGCTACGTCGCCTTCGACATTCTCTACGCGTACCCCGAAGACTCAGGCACCTACATGTGCAAAGCGACCAACCTCGCCGGAGAAGCAGTCAATACTTGCACAATCCGCGTAGGCTCCCGCCGCAGCATTCTCTTCGACACCCAACACCCTGATGGTCTCGAAAAGATCCGTGAGCTGGAAGCTCAAGGCCACCCTGCCAGATTAGAAGTCGAAGAGCCACCAGTCTTCCCGCCTCGATTCGTCACAGAATTACGTGGAACCACCGAGATTTACGAAGGCCAAACCGCGCACTTCGAGTGCCAAGTAGAACCTTTGCACGACGCGAACCTTAGAATAGAATTCTACCACAATGGCAAACCCCTACCATCAGCTTCTCGCTTCCACGTGACCTTCGACTTCGGGTACGTCGCCCTGGACATCACCCACGGAGTCCCTGAAGACGCAGGCGAGTACTCCGTCAAAGCAATCAACGCTCTAGGCCAATGCACATCAACCATCAGCTTGAAAGTGATTCCTCGCGATAATATCATCATGGATCCTCAGCGTCCGGAAGGTCTGGACAAAATCCGCGAGCTAGAATCCGCTCAGCCTTGGAAGCGACCTGAAGTTTCCGAACCAGTGACTCGCCAGCGCCCGGTCTTCACTCAACCACTCCAAAACATTGATGCGCTACCTGAAGGAGAGACAGCTCACTTTGAATGCCGCTTGATTCCCGTCGGCGACCCGACTTTGAAGGTAGAATGGTTCAGAAATGAAAAACCTCTTGGAGACAGCTCAAGAATCACCAAGGTCCACGATTTCGGCTACGTCTCTCTGGACATCAAGCACGTCCGCGAGGAAGACGAAGGTGTTTACATGTGTCGCGCTTCTAACCCACTCGGCGAAGCAGTCACCACTGCTTCAATGAAGGTCAGAACCAAAGCAAGCATCCAATTGGAGAGTCAGCACCCAGAAGCTCAAAAGAGAATCGCTCAGTTGGAAGCCGGCAAACCTGGACGCGCTGATGAGCCAGAGAAAGTCTTCGACAAACCAATCTTCACCCAACTTCTAACTGGACCCAATGAACTCTGGGAAGGCCAGGTTGCTCGTTACGAGTGCCGAGTTGTGCCGGTAGGCGACGCTAGTTTGAAATTCGAGTGGTATGTTAATGGCGTGGAACTTAAAATGGGATCTCGCTACCACGTCAGTCATGATTTCGGCTTTGTTACTTTGGATATCTTGAAAGTAATCGCGGAAGATTCGGGAGTGTACTCTTGCAAAGCGATTAACAAAGCTGGAGAAGCGGTGTCTTCTATTTCTCTGAAGGTTAAAGCGCGCTCGGCGATTGAGCAAGACGCTATTCATACAGACGCTTGGCAGAAGATTCAGTTGAAAGAAGCTGAGATGAACAAAGTTCCTGAAATGTTCGTTGATACTACACCTCAGCAAGCGCCGGTGTTCACCACACACCTAAAGAGCTACGATAAGCTCCAAGAAGGCCAGCATGTTTACCTAGAAGCCCAAGTTGAGCCGCGAGCTGATCCAAATCTGCGAACTGAGTGGTTCAAGAATGGAGTCTCTCTTCAAACTGGAACCAGGTTACGCAGTACTTTTGATTTTGGACTAGTGACCTTGTCAATTAATGGTCTAAGAGCTGATGATTCTGCTCTGTACACCTGCCGAGCTACGAACCTTCTTGGAGAAGCTGTGTCAACTTGCAGTCTTAAAATCGACGACCGTCATTGGCTTCTAGGAGACACTCTCCACCCGGATGCTCTGTCGAAAATCGATGCGCTTGAGCAGCCTCTTGCTCCAACTCCAGAGCAGCCTGAACCTACTTATGAAGAACCGGTGTTCATTACTCACTTGAATAATGTAGAGTGCACTGAAGGCGACAACGTCCACTTTGAGTGTAACGTGGAACCTTCCAAAGACCCAACGATGCAAATCGAGTGGTTCATTAACGGCAAGCCTCTTCCAACTGGCGCCAGGTACAAGACTATCTACGACTTCGGATTCGTCGCCATGGACATGGTCCACGCTTATGAAGAAGACTCAGGGATGGTCACTGTAAAAGCTACCAATTCTAAAGGATCAGCGCAGACTACTGGAACGTTGAAGTGCACCAGTAAGCAGAGTATTTACCTCCAAACTCAGCACCCTCAGGGCCCAGCAGGTCTTGAGAAGGTCCAGGAGGTGGACGAAGCCTTCCAATCAAGGTCCAGGAGACCCGAAGACGCTCCTGAGCCTCAGTACCCAAAACCTGTTTGGACGGTACCGCTCCAGGCAGAATTCAAGCTTGGAGAAGCTGAGCCGCTTCATCTAGAAGGCCAAGTCGAGCCTAAAGACGACCCTAACTTGAAGATCGAGTGGTACTTTAATGGAAAAGCCCTGGAACATGGTTCTAGATTCAAGATGACCAGCGATTTTGGGTTTGTTACTCTGGATTTAACTGATGTGTATGATAGAGACTCTGGAATTTATACCTGCAAGGCTTACAACAAAGCTGGAGAAGCTTTCACGGCGACAACTGTGTACTGCTCAACGAAGGAGAACATAATTGAACGCTCTCAGCATCCCAAAGGCAAGGAGGGGCTAGAAGCGATCCAAGATCTTGAAGAGTCATTGAAGAGACCTGATGGCAAGCCTATGGAACCTGAAGAAGGACATCCTCCGGTGTTTACTTCCCAGTTTGAGAACTTGGTGAACCTTTCTGAGGGTGAAATCGCCCACTTTGAAGCTTCCTTGACCCCCACAGGCGACCAGACGATGGTAGTCGAGTGGCTCTACAACGGAAAATCTCTTGAAGCCAGCCACAGGATCAGAACAGTTTATGCTTTTGGAATGGTGGTTCTTGAAGTTCTGGGAACCAAGATTGAAGACTCAGGAACTTACTCCTGCAGAGCGACGAACAAGTGGGGCAAAGCTGAGATTTCTGTGACCCTGGAGTGCGTTGACAAGTCCAAAGGACAGAAGCCTAAGTTCACAACTCACATTCAGTCCTTGGAGGGACTTAAAGACGGACAATCGGTTCACTTTGAGTGCACTTTGATTCCTGTTGGAGATCCTAACATGAAGGTCGAGTGGTTCCACAACGGAAAGCCGCTGAGACACTCATCGCGCTTCAAAATGGTCTCTGATTTCGGGTTCGTGGTGATGGACATCGCTGGAGTCATGTCTCATGACAGCGGAGAGTATGTTTGCAAAGCGAGTAATAAATTCGGGGAAGATTTCACCAAAGCTACCATCAAATGCTTCGGAAAGAGCGGAGTCTATTTAGACTCTTTGCAGCCTGATTCTTTGGCAAGAATCCGAGAACTTGAAGCTTATGGCGGCGAACAGCACGCTGTTCCATCAACACCTGTTGCGGAACCGCCTAAATTCATCACTCAGATAACAGACATCACCAAACTTGTAGAAGGCCAGTCGGCTCACTTTGAAGCAAGGTTGACTCCAGTTACTGACCCGGATCTTAAGGTTGAGTGGTATTACAACGGAAAGAAGCTTCCTCATGGTCATCGTTACAGAACTTTCCACGACTTTGGCATAGTTATTCTTGATATTCTGTACTGCTATGAAGAAAACTCTGGAGTTTATGAGTGCCGCGCTGTTAATAAGTACGGAGAAGACTCCACTAAGGCCACTCTTAAGTGCATGTCTAAAGCCAGTCTCATCTTGGAGTCCCAATTGCCAAAAGGAATGGAGAAGGGCCTTGAAAAGATTCAAACTTTGGAAGATTCTATGATCAGAACCAAAGATGAGAAGGTTACAGAAGAACGCGGCAAGGCTCCGATGTTCACTGTGCCTCTGAGCAACATCGACGGACTTCGTGAAGGTGAGAGTGCCCACTTTGAAGCCCGCTTGACTCCCACGGACGACCCTAAGCTGAAGGTAGAGTGGTTCTGGAACGGCAAGCCTTTAAGAACTGGCTCACGCTTCAGAACTTTCTGCGATTTTGGGTTTGTGATTCTAGAAATCTCTCCAATCTATCCAGAAGATTCAGGAGAGTACAGCTGCCGTGCTTCCAATGATTATGGTGAGGCAGTAACTAGCTGCACTATGAAGTGTACCGGAAAGCGAAGCATCATTCTGGAATCTCAACTGCCCAAAGGAATGGAGAGCACCATTGATAAAATCGCAGAACTAGAAGGTCTAGGTGGAGAACCGGGTCAGATAATTCCTGATGATGATACTGGCCGTCCTCCTGAATTTATCACAACTCCATCAGACTTGACACTAAGTGAAAACTCTCTGGCTCACTTCGAGTGCCGGCTGTTACCAGTTAACGACTCCAGTATGAGAGTAGAGTGGTTCCACAATGGCAAAGCTCTAAACGCTGGTTCTCGTCTCAAGACAATTCACGACTTTGGGTTTGTTATTCTAGAAATAGCCAATTGTTACCAACGTGACTCGGGTCTGTACACCTGCAAAGCAACCAATAGGCACGGAGAAGCTACAGTGTCTTGCAAGTTCCAGGTTCGTGGTCGCCAGGGTATTGTCCTGGAGCCGCAATTGCCGACTAACTTCAAATCTGGAACGGAGAGCATCCAGAGGCTTGAAGAAGCTTTGTATAAAAAGGACGAGATTCTTGCAGAAGAAGAGCAACCAAATCCTCCTAAATTTACAGTGGAGTTGAAGGATATTGAAGTTGAGGAGGCTGCGGCAAGTCACTTTGACTGCCGAGTGGAACCTAGAGGAGACTCTTCCATGCGAATTGATTGGTTCCACAATGGTAGGCCCTTCGCAACGGGTTCTCGTGTGCATATGATCAATGATTTTGGATTCATTTCGCTGGATATGTCTTACACTTATGCGAGAGACAGTGGGGAGTATGTTTGCCGCGCTACTAATAAGTGGGGGTCTGCTACGACCAAGGCAACCATAATCTGTAAGTCTAAGAAAGCGGTTGATACTGATTCACAATTGCCGTCAGGAATGAGTGGGGAAAAATTGAAGGAATTGGAACGCGGACCTGTTAGTGAGCCGGCTCCTGTTGAAGAAATTCCAAGAATTCCGCCCAAGTTTATCACTCAGATCCAGTCTGCGACTGTTGAAGAATCTGAACCGGTGAGGTTCGAATGTCGCGTTGAGCCGAAGGAAGATCCAACGCTGAGGATCGAGTGGTGGAGAAACGGAAAACTAATCCCGGCTGGGCACAGATATCGCGCTGTTTATGACATGGGATTTGTTTCCATGGATATTCTGTATGTTTACCCGGAAGATTCGGGAGAATATGTCTGTCGGGCGGTTAATAATTATGGAGAAGATTCTACTAAAGCCTCGGTTTCTTGCAAGACTCTCCCTAGTATTATTCTGCAGAATCAAGTACCTAAGGGCATGAAGAGATCGGAAGCTTTGATGCAAATGGAAGCTACTATTAAGAAATACACCTCGGAAGTTCATCTGACTGAAGATGATCTGTATGATGCTGAGAAAAGGCAACCCCCGAGGTTTGTTACACAGATACAGAACCAGACAGAGTTGGTTGAGATGAATAGTACTAAGTTTGAGTGCCAATTGGCGCCTGTGGGAGATCGATCGCGCTGATTCAAAGAACGCTATCGCTCGATTTAATAAACCTTCATACTGATCTAACTCATTAACATAATCCGTAGCTGACTCAAGGATCACGTAAGCTTGAGCCGTGGCCTGTTCGCCAGCAAAATGTTTAGCTGACACTAATCTCTCCGTTGATTTAGTTATTTTCAAAGACCGTTCCTGCAGTTCCTTGGCCTCCGACTGTAATTTTTTAAACTCGAACAACAAAAGCCCGGCACTTGACGAGGAATCGCCCAGTTGATCGCTGCTGGCTCTAAGAGCAGCCATTCTGTCGTTTATTATTTCTTCTAGGTCCCGAAGATCGGTGGCTAGAAGTGCCAAGGCTAGACACTGCTCTAATTGAGTCTTTCTGGTGGTAAAAGACAACTCGATCCGGGTTCTTTGGTCATGTAGCTCTTCTAACCACTTTTCAACTTGGAGAACAGCTGTAATTTGGTTTTGTTATTCACCAAATAATGTAATTAAAATATTTAATGTTTGATTTAATCAAAGAAGAAATAGAAAAAAAATAAGAAATTAAAAAAAAAAAAATAAATGGGACAAAATAAAAAATAGGAAAAAGAAGAAATGATAATAAAAAAGAAGAAATAAAAAAAATAAGAAGAAGAAATACATAGAAAAATAAAAAGAAGAAATGTACAAAAAAAAATAAAAAGAAGAAATAAGCAAAAAATTAAATGAAGAAATATACGAAAAAATAGAAAAAAGAAATACATAAAAAAATTAAAAGAAGAAATATATATATAAAAAAATACACAAAAAAATAAAAAAAAGAAACAAGCAAAAAATTATATGAAGAAATAATAAGAAAAAAATAGAAAGAAGAAATATATAAAAAAATAAGAAGAAATATACAAAATTAAAAAGAAAAAATAGATAAAAAAAGAAGAGTAGAAGAAAAGAAGAAATATATTTTTAAAAAATAGACAAAAAAAAATAAAAAGAAGAAACAAACAAAAAATTAAATGAAGAAATAATATGAAAAAAATAGAAAGAAAAAATATATAAAATTAAAAAGAATAAATAGAGAAAAAGAAGAAATATATTTAAAAGAAGAAACAAACAAAACTTAAGAGAAGAAATAAAAAAAATGGAAAGAAGAAATATAAAAAAATGAAAAAAAGAAATAGATTTAAAAAATATAATACCGTTGTTAGCATCAGCTTTTATTCTATCTGGTCGTGAATCTAATGTACCCTCGTTGGCTATTTCCCTGAGACAATCCAGTAAAGTACGACCTTCTTGTAGAGCACCCATCAGTGAACTAAGCATTGCTTTTCTTAAATCGTGGATTCTAGTGAGGAATTTTTTAACTACTTCTATCTCAATGGGAAGCAATGTATCAGTACATGCTTTTTCAAGTGCTATGGCATTTACTTTGAATTCTTCAGCTCGACTGAAATACATCAAACATTAATTATTTTTTATTTTCTTCTTTCCGTATACGCCTGTTACAATTCATAATTATTAATAATGAATAATGGAGAATAACCTACCATTTAAAAAGTACATTATGATCCAATATCTGCTTCTGAAGCTCGAGCAAAGAATTAACGTCTCTCCAAGCCTGACCCAAGGTGTCAGCCATAGCAGCATAAACTTCTGCGCGAGGTCTTTGAGTCGAGATTAGTTGATCCGCTTGTCTAAGTAATTCCTCAACTGGACTTTGCTTGCTTTGAAGACGTACAAGTACCTCGTCATGTGCAGCTGACAGTCTTTTTGCTTCATCTACCGTTGTACCCAGTCTCGTTAATTCCGGACATACTTCCAGAACTTTTAATCTTAACCATTCTCCACTCTAGAATTAATCAAAATCTTATTTATAATTTACTATTATCATTTTTAAATAAATATGCATTTTTTAATTTAAAATGATAAATAATTGAACAAATTTGAGTTGTTACCTGATGCAAAAAAAAATTTTTTAGTGAAGAAATATCTTAAAGATATATTCGAAATAATAGTTCAAAAATATTGGATAGTAATAATATTGAACCACTAAATAATAATAACAATTTTATGAAAATTAAATTAGCCGACATCTAATAATGTCTAGAATTTTTTTTATTGACAAACTTATTACAAAATAATTAAAAAATAAAAATGTCATTTGTAAAAAACTTGAAAAACTGTAAGTGCAATTTTTTAAAAATATTTTTTAGTAATTATTTAGTAAATGAAAAAAATTAAAAACGTTGACTAACTTTAGGGTTATAACAATTTTTAGTTATCATAAATTTTATTTCTTAAAAATAAATCTTTTTGTAACACAGTTATGTCTTTTTTAATTCTTTATCAAATTAAAAAATTTAAATAATTTATTAAAGCTTATATTTCTTAAAATTGATTTTTTCAATATTTATTTTCAACATTAGCAATAAATATTAGTTTTATTTCCACATAATAAAAAGACCCTGTTAATTACTCACAATATTATGAAAATTAATTTTTATTTTTATTTATAAATGTTAATTAAATGTCAATGTATTTTTAACATATGACTTATTATATGTGACTTAAAGTAATAATACAAAAGTATTATTACAAGTAATAAAGGGTTACACGAAGCTATATACTCCTCCAGAGTTCATTGACCCAAAGTGCAAAAGATATGCTTCCATTTTCACCAGCCTGGCCCACTGCCAAACGATTTCGTATCCACGAAAGTTTCTTCAGGCTTTCTACAATTTCTACATAGCATCGGATCATTGTATTCAAATTTAACAGAAAGTTTTTCGAGTGTTAAAAAGAAAAATAAAAACCACTGAAGAAATAATTTTAAGATACAGGTAATTTAATTAATTATTTCATAATCTATCAGTGTGGTAATGTAATATAATAATGTTATTTAATTAAACTTGATAAAAATAAAACATTCTTGACCAGCAAATTGAATAAAATCCAACTGATTGATTTATAAATATTAAATATTAAATATATGGAAATAACGTCAATAATAATTAATGAGATTAGAGAAAATAAATAATGAGGAGACAAACGTCCTTGGGCGTCACTCGTCGATGGTACTTAACTTATCTTCTCTCTTCTTTTAACGGAGTGAAAGTGACGAGTCGTATTCTCGTTATATATTGCTATATATCACTATATGTATATATATATATATATATATATATATATATATATATATATATATATATATACGGTGGACTTGAGTTCTGTTCTATCCAGTCGGTTTAGTTGCTCCAGGCAGTAAAATACCTCGATGCATGTTACACACTGATCATGCAACTTCTCGGTCAGCTTAAGCTAGACCCCAACCTTATAGAGAAAACCTTATACAACAACTAGACACTAACTGGAAAAACTAACCTTAAAAAGATAAATAAACTACTAAGTTGATTGGAATTCATTTAACCGGTCAATTTTATTTTATGTCTTCCTGAACTCCCAAGATAACTAAATCTTTTTGCCCATATTTATCTTAATAAATAAATAATTAATTATGAATTATTAATCTCTAGTTATTGATTTACTAAGCAAATTTGCACAGAAAAAAATATCGGCTGAAGAAGAATATTCTTCCTTGCAGTCAATTTTGAGGAAGACACACAATAAGAAATTGTGTGTTAAAAATTTTATTTTAAATATTTAACACTTTTTTGATGTAATGACAAAATTTTTTACTACACAGAAAAAAAAATTACTTGAATTAAGTAAATAATTTTGAAGAACTTTATCTTGATGATTTGAGTAAAAAAATTTTTAAACTAAGAAATTTTTCTTGATTCAAGAATTTTTGGACTTGATTCAAAAAAATTATTTTCTTGATATTGAACATTTTGATTCAAAAGTTTCAAATAATTGAGTGAAGTTTGATTATTATTTTTCAATAAATTTTTTTATTTAAATAAAAAATATTTCGGATTAAAAAATTAAATGTCTCAAAACAAGAGCTACTTATCAACGGTCTAATTAGCAATTGGCCTAACTCCTTATTTTTAAGAGGATAATTTTTTAACTTTTTAATGTATCAATAGTCCAATTATAAATTATTTGAATGATCTAAACCAACATATCATACCTCTATAAATGTATTAAATCCGTTTTTAATGATAATAAATTTTTAACTAATTGATTTTTTTGTACAAATGGAAGATTCTCTCAAATGGAGTTAGACAATTTGCTGATTAGAACGTCGTTATATGTTATTAACTCTGAAACTAAAAAATTTAAATCAAGAAGATGACGTTCTTGACTTTAGACAATCCGACAGCAGCGCCGCTTAAAGATGCCCAAAAAATTACATATTACTAATACATTAATAGATTCTAATTGAGTTCGCTTACGCTGTAATTGCTTAAGTAATATCACTCTTTTTTAACGGCGCGATCCGATCAGGGTTCGAGTCCGGTCTTGGGCGTATTTTATATTAAATCATTTTTAGTTTACCAAAAAATTAATATTCTCAAGTCTCGACCCTTGATAATTGCTAAGTATTTAATTGTTGATCTTAAAAACAAATTATTTTCCAATCAAAAGATATTTTTTTTTATTGAATGTTTTTATTAATACTATCAATTTAAAAAAAAATTTATTGAATTAAAAAAAAAAAGACCAAAATTTTCTTGGTTCAAGTTAAACTTGAAAAAATTTCTGTATGCCTTAATCGGAGTTGGTATAAATAAACATAAAAAGAAGAAAAGAAAAAACAAGTAAAAAATAAAATAAATATACAAAACTAATGGAGTTTATCGAATCAAATGTTCAGCTGTTACAGTTATAGTCATAGTTATAGTTATGGTTATTCTTCATTTCAATATAAATATATTAACTATATATATATATAGAGAGATATATGTAACCATGGGTTATTTTAGCACCCATGTGGTTCTGTCTATACAACAAGTATAACCGGGAACTGTTCTATCTATCGTCTTCCGAAAAACGGCTCCGCGAAGTATAAATTTAAACCTTCTGCAGGCTATACCCGAGAAGTTGGTCGGATTTCTCCGCGTTCGTCTTGGGACGGTTATATTTGTTAGTTATCTGCAGGGATCTTAGGTCAGACATA